AATTTAGTGATGATAATAATATTGTAATAATTATTTGTACTTTAAAATATCGTGCTTATTGTTATTTTTTATTATTTTTTTTTATGTTAAACTCTCTTCTTTCTAGAACTGGTTTCAGATAAGAATTGCACTAAAATTCATATAGACCATATTTCACTTGCCTCCGATATGTATACTCAGCGACTTAAGGAATTAATGGTGAGTTAACAGGGTTAAGAAGTTTGCTCAGATTTTGTATGTTGTTATAATGTAGTAATATGTAGTTTCAACAGTAAGAACATACATTACAGGATTTAATGGTTTTTAAAATATTTCTCATTACGAAGCTTCGGGAATGTAATATCATGGCGTTTTTATTTATTTATGTTTTTTTTATTAAATTTTATTTACTGAGGGTAACCCAAAACACCAGTTAGCTGACAGTCCTACAATACAAATGGCAAGTCAATGTTAACAAATAATAAGCCTATATAAAACAAAATATTAAAATTTAATTAAAATCAGTGTATTAGATATCAGATAAATATAGATAGAAAAATATGAAATATGTGTGTAAATAATCAATGTATTTACCAGCCAAGATAGAGTTCTTTTTTTTCTGAAGTATTGTTCAGTATTATGTTGACCGAATATGGACAGAATTTGAGGTGGGTGGGTAGGTTAAAATCCGTATCATTGAGGGGGAGGGGTCACAGGATTTGGGGGGTGTGCCAGGCCAACCTCCATTTTTTAAAAACGCTAACATTTTTTTTTTCATTTTTGTAGAAATCGCTGATCAATGATGATAAACATATGACAGAAATGCAGAAGTTGTTAGAATCTGAAAAGTTGGAAAATGAGAAATTAAAACAGAGAATTGCTGAGCTTGAAGCTGAATCAAGGTTGAGAACTGTTGTGCCTTCAGATAGTCCTGCTACTTTGGAGCAAGTGTCTTCACTAACACCATCTGACAATGAAACAAATTTAAAAGTTTTGAAATCAAATAATAAAGATTCAAATGAAGAAATAATGACAAAGAGTACTGTTGAATCATATTTTAATGAGGAAATAAATGAAATAAATAAAGTTAATGAAACAGAATTGAAAACATCAGAAGAGGTTGGTGATAATAAGATTGATGCAAATGCAGAAAATAACGTACAAGTTTATACACATGTTGAAAGGACAGGATTAGAATTTGAAAATATTGAACATAACTGTGAAGAACAAGTAACAAATTTGGACGATTCTGATCGTTTAAGTACACAGTCTGACGATTCACATTCATATGAAAGTATACCACTAATACATAGGAAATCTGAATCCGGATCTGGATCTGATCACGATGTAAGTCCACGAAACACGCTTCATTTTGCTGTAACCATGGATTCCAGTTCACCAGTCAGCATATTAAATAAGGAAAATTTCCAAATTGAACCTTTAGTAGAAAATATGAACAAGAGTAACCAAGTCGATGAAGATGATGACGACGATGGTGATATAACCATTCCTGCATACCCTGAGGGAGAGATAGAGGCAGCACTTCCAACTGGACAGTTGCATCATGTGAAAATGGCCAAAGAGGAAGTGGTAATGCATGAGGCACCAGAGTTCTTGCATGACAGCGATGCAAAGGAAGTGACAATAGATGTATTACCCAACAGCAGGCCACATAGCCTGATCTCTGTTGGTTCGTCAACAACTACAGAAGGGATGGAGTACATGGACAACCAATTTGAGAGCGAGGCCATGCATGCCATTTTGTCCAAAGAGAAACTTCTAGAACATGGTGAGTTCAAAGGTAAATAGTATAGTCATCATTTATATTATTATTTTCATTTCAAAATTCCCTTTGTTGAGGATGCTTTTCCTAATAAATAATTCATGAGTTCTTGAAACTATGTCAACTTACAATGAACAATCAATATTTTATATACTGTAAAAGAACTTTGTTTTTGTTTAGCAATCAAATAAGTGTTTAAATAATACCTGTCTCTTATACACATCTAGATGTGTATAAGAGACAGATATAATATATTGTTTTGTTTGTTGTTTTTTTCAGTCGTATTATTTATAACCAAACTATAAAGTTGATTCGATTTTAAATTTTGCATAGAAAAAAATTAATTATAAAACCTGATATAAAGAAATAATATAAAATGCACAGAAACAAAAAAGTAACTTTAAAGAGCCCTAAATTGATATATATGAATAAATACTTTTTCATTATTTAAAGTGGAAATAAATGAGAAAAACATTCTAGACTCTAGCCTACCAAATACAATTTTAATTTTTTTATTATTATTATTACTTAATGTTTTGAGGCATAATGATCATATTAGTTTCACAAACTCGTTTTAAACTTACTACCAAATCGATATTTTTCCCATCATAGAGCTTGTATGCATAGTGAGTAGTTAATATTAGTATATTGTAAAGATTGTAATTGCTTTATTATTTTTACCCTTATTTTATTGTATATAGTCAGTCCTACTAATTTGTACTAATTTGCTATTGAACACTATAAATAAAATAATATAAATTAAAAATGTACGATAGTATATAATGGTTGGATTTTTATTTGTTTTTTCAATATGTAAGTGATTATCAAATGTTATATTTTGTGGTAAATCTGTTGCCATTTCCTTTTAATCTCAGAACATGAAAATCTGGTGTAGTAGAGAGTGGATCTATCTCGAACATTCTTGATGCCTTTTCTGCTGTTTCCAATTGATGTAGTACTAAAGCCTGAGCTACTGATCTGGACTTTGTGCTGGTAACAATCACATAGTGATGTAGTGTAGAGCAAGTGTTCTTTAAATGCCTTTGTATGCTTGCGTATTAGAAAGCTAAAACAGTTTAATGTCTGAATTTATGCTGCCATCTATAGTTTACTTTGACATTTTTCTAAACTATAGAGGGCCGCAATTTTAGGTTTTGCTTTCCAAGACTTGACAAAATGGACACTGAATATAAGTAGTAAAGTACTGTATCTCATTTCCTGTTAACCCTTCCTTTTGATAATAAGGAAAATTCTCTGCAACATATTTTGATAGTTTTGTTGTACTATTAGTAAGTTTTACACATTATATGAAAGAAAATATTAAAGAGAAAATTGTCATATTGTCATGTTAGTGTCTAAAGTGTAATTAATAAAGTAGTATTGTCAGCCATTTTATAGATGTCAATAACAAGGCATATGTTTTAAAAATTGAACATAGTTTCACATATCAAGAAAGGTTATTCAAGATTTAGTAATCAATTTTTTTGTATGTGTCAAGTATTGTAAAGAACAATGTTGATGACTAAAATTAAAGCTTGCTTGTGATAAACAAAACAGGTTTGCTTTGTAAATTTGCAGTTGTAGATAATACAAATTGAATAATGCTTTTTTGTCTATGAAAACCAGTTCACCTAAAGATTTTGTAATATGTTAAAAATTAATTATGTATGAAAAGTGTCTGTATCTTCCAAGTATAATACAAATCTGAGTAAATATATTAAACTTACCATAGGTGTAAATTTGTCTGGATGATTTTAATTTTTGAAAGAAAAGACAAGACAACAATATATGTAAAATTGTACTCCTGTAATTTAGACATGTCAGGCAGTAGAATTATTTTTGAAATTTGTGAAACATGAATAAATAAATGTAGGCTGTAAGAATTGAGGAGATTTTGATGGTATTATCTTGTCATGACACCTGACCCAAATACTGTCTTAATCTCTGATGCCAGGTATTGAGTTGATCTCATTTGTAACTGCTTATACATAATATGTATATAACAAACTCTAGCAATCCTTAAGATAAGCATTTATTTTTTAGTTTCTTACATCTTACTTGCAAATATGCCCAGAGAATATGAATTTTATTTATTGAATAATTTTGAAGATGGATATATAATGAAATAAATCTGTATAAAATCAGTTTCTATCACTTAATGAGAATGATGTACAAAAGCTCCATTCATGTTTATCTTATAGGTCCCCCAAACAATTCCTATCTCCTATCTTTTATATTATGTAAATTAAAAAGTCAAAGTTTAAGAGAAAATGACATCCCTGATGTGATGAATAGTAGTTACTTAAAATATACTAGTAAGAATAACAGTAGATTTAAGCTCTAGATTAGCAATAACGTTTTAAACTTAAAATATACCAGTGCCTCTTCAAAAAGCCAAATCTACTGTTTGTGAAACTTTAAAAGGAAAAGTCGCATTGTTTAAGTTGATGCTAAAATCTTATATGTTTGTTCAAATGAATGTGTTTTCAGTGGGTATTATTACGTCATCAACAAATTCAGCAATTTTTTGTAATTTCATATTTTGTTTAGGCCATCATAATTGGGGGTTTATAATATTCTATTTGTTTTCAGTATTAAAATTACATAGGTTTTAACATTACAATTACATATGTTGACAGCAAAAATAATCTTGAAGTATAGTAACACAGAAAGAAATCTTTCTTTCTTCTATCTCTTCACTCTAAATGTATTCAATTCCACAATAAATCTAATTTGAGTCCGGGATGACAAGTCATTTCAAACTTCTCAGCCAAATATTGCTGAGGTTTTTAAAGTGTATAAGATTGTAAAGTATGCTCGGTAAAAAGGTTATTTGTAAATCTTTAGGTTTTAGTTAAATGTAAAAGTTTGTCTAGTTTCTGTTGTTAATGCTTATAAAAACAATCATGGTTATTAGAATTTCATATTTTTTTATATTGCACTTCTTTGTACGCTGAGATGGTTTCTAAAATTATCCGTCTCCGAGATTTGAATTTGCCATTATTTGTCTAGCCTATTAATTTATTTTAAATCATATTTTCTTAGAGATTATACTTTTGGTATTGTAATTGAAACATTTTAATACATCTCTTCCCATTCAAAATGGAGAATTTGAAGGTGATGCTTGAAGGGGAATGTGATAAAAATCAGGAAGAATTTGATTGGTTGAGGATGCTTTTCCTAATAAATAATTCATGAGTTCTTGAAACTATGTCAACTTACAATGAACAATCAATATTTTATATACTGTAAAAGAACTTTGTTTTTGTTTAGCGATCAAATAAGTGTTTAAATAATACTCAATTGTAATCATTGTGCAAATGCTTTGAAAATTTTAAAAGATGGGGGTAAATTATTTTGTGTTTGGAAAAAATACAAATTCCAAATGTCAATGGGAGATTCCAAATATTACCAACCTGTTATTGATTTCATCAAAACTAATGTTAAAATCCAATTTCAGGGGTTAATAGGAGTGAAAGAGAACCAACGTACACACTTGTTGAAATGAAGAATGATGCTGTGGGGAATCAATTATAAGTAATGTCCTTGCCGTACAATTACAAGTCTACCACATCGCCCTGTTGAGTCTATTATAATTTTGTAAGACAAAGTCTGTGTTGTTGGGTGTTGGGTTATATTAAAACAATACATGTTTTTGTTTGTTTTTTGGTTTTTTTTTGCAGGTTTTCACTGTGATAACAAATCCAAGATATGTATTATGTGATAATAAAAGAATTTTCTCATCATTTATAGAAATGTATTAATTTAATTAAAAAAATGATCAAATTCCACCAAGCCATTGTTGTCAATGTTTGCTTTCTTGTATCAAAACTCAATGATTTTGCAATTCACTTCAATAGATCTCCAGATCTTCCAAACTGCTAGACAATCATCAACAATTGGATTCCATACCATTATCTTGTATCCTTTAGAACAGCACCACCAGTGAGCCTGGTACACCTACATGTATATGTTATTTTATTAAATGTATATTTTGAATAATGTACTAGTGTACTCCCCTCCCTTCTTTTTTAGATTCAAGAAACTTTGTTGACTGTTTTACAAATGTATACAGAAAATCAAGTTACTGGGCAAGAGGTTACGCTCTTATCAAAAACCTTTGTAGACCACCTCAGAATTATTGCTTGTGATAATTAATACTTATTTTACATGGTTAAATAATAAAATTGTTTGAAATTTGTTTAAGGGCCCTAATGGAAATTTTTTTTTTTTCCCCTTGGGTTTTATCTGTTTTATATTTTGTATTTTAAAATTATGTGATTTTAAAGCCAGGCTCCAGAGGAAAAACTTTTTTGTATATGTTGTGCTTAAGACGAAAAGCATATTTGACAACAAAAGTGTGAACGGTTAATGAGATACAGATTTTGGAATATTTAAAATCTGGGGAAAAAGGTTTTTTTTTTTATTCAAAAAATCTCATTAACTGTTTTTGTCAAATATGTGTTTTGTGTCTTACGAGAAATCAGATGTACAACATACCAAAAAAAAATGTTCCTCCGGAGCCTGACTAATTCCTGAATAAAATAAAATGAAATAAAATTGCATAAGCCATGTGCATGGGAATGTATATGTCAGGTGTGAATGTCGCTCGATAATTGTTTTTGATTATTGACCACTGATTGCAGGTAGCAGCAGCCAATTCCCTTTTCCTAGGCACCTAGTCCTCGCACTGCATTGGGCTTTGTTAGAAATTATACTTGCTGCTGGACAGCTAGGGCCACCACTACCCTCACCACAATAATCTTGCAGTAAACGGCTAGATTTCTTCCCCATGTCCAACCACTGGAGTCCCTTTCCCCACCTCGCATCCAAAAGCATTCTGTTGCGATCAACATTCTCATTCTCTCTCTAGAAACGAGAACACAATACTTGTTTACCCAACAGCAACGAATGCCTGTGATTTCATCATTAAATGTTTATTTTTTGAATCACTACTTACTCTATCCTTCCAATCTTGTCTAAAAACTTGTACTGTATTAACCAAAATGATAAAAAATCATTGAAACATATATGAACATTTTTGAATATTCATGACGTTGTATGTGATGGCTATTGGTCACATGAAAAAAATCAAATACATCAATTAACAGAATTGAAGAAATAATTAGATAGTGATTAATAATTCCATTATAAAAACTGATATACAAATATATCCAGCATTACCCTCAATTTAATTCAAAAGGCAGAAAAACAAGAATTTATACATTAAAATGTTGCAAAACTTAATTTGTTATTATTTATGGAAGTAAAATAATTTATCCATCCAAGTCAAGGAGTCATTAAGTAAAGCTCTGTCAAAACTATCATATTTTATGCGACAAATATGGGCACATCACAGTTTGTCAAATAAAATTTGATTGTGCGAACAAAGTTTAAAAGGTTTCATTTATTGTTCAATTTTTCATCATAATGATAGTGTAGTGTTAAAACATGTAATTTTTTTAAACATTTCCAAAACGGGACAAATTTTTGAAAGAGATGTAAAAGTAGAATAAAATATGCTCTAGGACTTGTAATCTTTGCACTTGTAAGGTATTGTGACAAAATGAGTCGTGTTGTATAGTTTATCCATTTAATATATTGAACATGTTTTAAGGTGACCGGGGCGAATATATGGAATGACTTAGATATCGATTTGAGAACTGCGACTTCTCTAAACATATTTAAATACAAATTGTACGAGGCACTAATTAAGAGAATATAATCGGTTACGACCATGTGCTTTAAATGCAGGGCCCCAATGGAAATAAGTGTTTTAACTGTTTGGGCTACCCTGGGTAAACAAATGTCAATAAATAAATAAATAAACATAATCTGATGATAATGATTACATTTCATCATACCAAAGGTTGATTTACACACTTTAAAGTAGTTTTTGAAGCAAATGTTTAAGGCTTCTCCAGAATTTATATAAAACAGTCAACAGGAAATTTATCAAATTTTTTTTATCTTTAAAGGTGACTTATTTCATAGTATGTTTTATACATGTGAAATACAGTCCTTTTCCAGTTTTACTAAACCTGTAAGCTTAATTCAGAGACCAAAATTAAGCTGAATAATAACAAATCACTTTTCAATTCTGGTACCGAGTCACTTTGCGACAACACCTTGCATTTATAATCCATTTTAGCAACAGTAACTACTTAGTACACCCACAAAACAGAGACATGTAGCTCCATTAAATGAAGCAAATATTCAAATCATTTATATTTAATTTCTATAACAATTTTGTGAATCTAGGATTCGCCATAGTTCCTAATGTTGAGGGCATCGGCCAGGAAACATAACTTTCATTTAGGACGTCTTAAGAGTTGATATATAATCATTTAGTATTAACTCTTAAAACAGCTTTTCATGTTATGTGTTGCTGAATAAAAACATTGTAAGATCATGTAAATGGCATTTGTGGTTTGATGTTTAGTTTCTTGGCAATTTTACTTTGGATTTCAGCAGCAACCGATAACGAGTAAAGATGCGTCATCTCCATCTCCGTCCTCGCCAGTTGGATTGCATTTTCAAAATATTCCTTTGCAGCATCCATGTTCCCTCTGTTGGTTAAAAAAAGTTTTTATCTTAGAATAATTATAAATTCAAATGTTTTTGACTTTTTTTTCATCTAACAAGTAGTAATTGGTAATATTGACTTTTATTGACCATCCACATAAGGATGAGGTATATGACATTTGATGTATTTGAAATGTTTTTGCAGTGGATATGGTCAATGAGGTACATTTACAGAAAAATCATTTGGCAATAATTAGTCACATGATTAGTCATGTGATTGGCTTAACAAGCTATTGGCTATCACCTGATTGGCTAGATACACAGATGTTCTGTTCTTACCTTTGCACTTCTATTGTTCCCAAGGTTTCATATGCAAAGTCGCATTTCTCATCGATCTTCAATGCCTCCTTTATCATGTCTATTGCTCCTGCTACATCTTTCTTCCAATTCAAATGCAAAAGTCTAAAAACAAAATGAATACTATAATAAGTACTTTTATCTAAACTCATGAGTCGAGAAAAATATATGTATTATTTTTGAGATATCATTTATTCGTAAATGCATTGATGTGTTGTGTGTGTTGTTTTTTCTTTGGTAGTTTTAAGGTTCAGGGTAACTTTTGGTTCTGTCTTCTGACGCACCTTGAGCACTTCTGCAGTGGATATGTGTGATTTATAAATCTTATTTATTTATTCATTTATTATTATTCAGCCAGTCAAGAGAAAAATAAATAAATTTAGTAAATCTCAAGATGTTTTCATTCAGTGTGGGCTCTAAGTCAATATCCGACTACTTACCTATGGTGGCAAGTAAACAAAAATATAGAATGTCGCCCTCTATTGATATTTATTTCAGTATAACCTTACCCTCTATGAACGTGTGCTGTGGGATTGTCTGGCTCTAGCATCACTGCCTTCTTGAAGTTATCGTCTGCCTGTACATACAATCCTTGTTCATTCTGGGCCTATAGTAGATATAAGCCATGGGAAGAGATATATGAAATATTATATATTAGTTATGAAGTAACCCCTCTAATTAGTGATACTACAATGATGTTATATGGTGGTTTGATATTTAATTTATATTGATTGGCTACTATATAAAGTTATTTTGTGGTTGTGAGAAAGATTTATTTTGCAATCCTCTAAACATAAGAGTTACAGTGGATATCTTCACTACCATAAGTTATGTGTACCTTCAAATGTTATATGTTGTGGAATAGCAAGAAAACAAGAAGTAAATATAACAGAAAAACAGATGCGAAGAGTTTAAAAATTCAGACCTGAGCCAAGAGTGCAAAGCCCTCGGCACATTTTGGGAACCTTGTAGTACACTTCTCCAGCATCTGCATGGCGTTTTGCATCTGTAGGGGGCTCTGCTGCAGCATGGCGAGGCGATACTTCGCATAGCTGTGCTGGGCATACGCTAAACCGAAATCGTTATTTAATTCGTTGCACTTCTCAAAGTCTTTCACAGCCTCGTCTACTTTCTCTAAGAGCAGGTTAAGCTAAAAAGAAACGGTATGAATTTATTTAAATCAAATAATGAAATTAAATATTAAAGTAAGTCTAACAGTTTGCATATCAATCAAAGATATTTTGATATAAAGCCCTGTCCACACTATCAAATTTTATTTGACAAAAACATGACATGCCTAAATATGGTCATGATGACATCACATCATGACCATATATAGGCACATTATGACTATATATGGGCATACAACAGGTTTTTTTTCGAAGAAAATTTGATAGTGTGGACAAAGCCTGACAGTATAATGATTAAAGAATTTCCACTTTACTGGTGTTTAATGGACGAATAAAGATTTGATTTGATTTGAGAATCAATCGTACAACTAGAGATTGTATTTATTGGTGAAAAAACACCACAGTTTTAGCAAGGCTTGAATTTAGTGTCTAATTAAAAGCAAAGCACCTTGACAGCACTCAACTTACTTGCCCTCGGTGATGGTAGATGTCGGGGTTTTCTGGATCAATTTCAACAGCAGCGGCGAAGTCCGCCATTGCTGCAGCTGAGTTGCCCTCTTGCATATGCATGCTACCTCGCTTGATCAATGCATTAGCACGAAGCTAAAAAACAGAAAAAAAGATTAACTTGAGCAAAATCAATACTCTGTCTCCAGGAAGTCTCCCGGAAATTGGGACGGCTTCCTGCACTCTCGCAAGCAAGCAAGAATCTACCGGAACATAACCAATCTCCCACAAATTCATGATATTACATGTGTTTACTACTTTAATATCAATTGTCTCATGGAAGGCAGTGCCAATGGGTAATCACCATGCACAGCAAAATAAAATTAAATATGTTAAGAAAGGTCATTTAACCAGATCTCCCAGAAAGAATTTCTTCAAACTTTGGACCCCTGCAGCTGATAAAGATATCAATATACTGTAATAACAAGATAATATGCTCTGTAAACTATTTCTCATTGTAAGGAAGTGAAGATGTTTGTAGTGGAAAGTAATCCTTAAATTTTCATGAACCCGAATACTTCAACCAAACTAGTACTATCCAAAAAAGGGATAACATTACAAAATATGATCTGATTACAAACTATGATCATGCAGTAGGACAATAAAGAAAGGAAGGATGCTTTAAACTTTCAAACTTCCAAAGTAACATTTATTTGATTCCTTTTCAATTCGTACAAAAATATTATACAAGATCATAACAAATTCAGGAGAAAAGGAAAAAGGCACAGACCCAGGAAGAAAAATCATCTAGTGACAAGTCAACTAAAAACAAAATAATAAAAGGGAGACATGAAAAACAGAGCTTAACTCCCTCCTGTCAAGCAGGCTAAGCCTCATTAAACAAGCAAAGCCCCATTAACCACAGTTCATTGGAATGTTTGTATAAAAAATACACCATATCCTTCAGCTTCAAATTTGACAACAGAAAGAATAACATCAAAAGAAAACATTCCAAACGAAGAGTATTTTCTGTGGCTTAAATCCAGTAAAAAATTGTTTAGACCTGTATACATCATTTGCATACCTTTTTAGCAGCATCTTCGTTCTTAATCAACTCGTCCAGGTCCGGCACAGCCCATTCTGCTTGCCCCATCAGCAAAAAGAACGTCGCTTTCATGAGAAGTGCCTCATATTGATACTTGCCCCTATACTCTATTTCTTCAATACAGTTTTGTACAATTTCATCATATGATCCATCATGAAATAATTGCTTTGCTTTCAGGTAGCCCCTAGAAAATCAAATTTTTTCATAAAATAAGAAACGTGCATATCTCAGTTGCTTCTTCTTTACATAGCCCGACAGTTGCAGTCTGCGAAAATGAATTAAAAACCCTATGTGTGCGGACTGCTAGTTATCTTTGGCTAGGAAACACCTTGTTTTTGACGGCCCGATACCTATCATCTGTAAAAAGCAATACAGAACTGAGCATAAAGTAGTATTAAAGCAGTGCATGAAGTTTTTTGGAAACACATTGAAAACATCAAGATTTAGGTGGTGCGGCCATCAGTGTTAAATCAAAAAATTCATTTTGGCCCTCCAACCCATTTTTATGCCCACCCCTACCGTAGACCCTCAAACTTACAGTGGTAACGAGTTAAACCAGTCTCTCTTTAAAAGATATAGTTAATTCTATTAAATTCAGACCACAGACACATGTATTAATCATTCTATTAATTAAATACTATATCTAATTGGATTTGTTTTCGTTTTGCTCACCGTAATTCCTGGCCATCTTCCACCGGTGGCATATCTGCCTTCTGCGAAATGCCATCGTTCGAGAACGAAGAGAAGTAAGACTGGATGAACTGACCACTTGGAAGTTGTGGGACTCGATTCTGTAAAAAGATGAACAATCAGCAATTACTTTGTAACAAACCATTAATTGATTAAATAATAAATACAACCATTTCTGGGACACTTTCTATACAAGAGAAGAGCCACAAAATGTATCCCTGAACTTAATGATATAAGAAAGTTAAATCTACCTTTGTTAGCCTAACAGGAGAAAACACACTGATCTTATCCCAATCTTTAAAGTCCTAAAGGGAATGGAGAATTTGCGTTTTGAATGTTTTTTCGAGATGTATAAAGAATCCAGAACCAGAGGAGATACATTCAAAATTCGCAAGCAACACTTCAGTCATAACTTCCGTAAATTTGCATTTTCTGTTCGCTCACTCAACTTTAGCCGAAGGGTAAGGATAAGGTAATGTTCGCTCACTCAACTAATATAACGCATTGCTCTTAGATGTAGTTTCTGCAGACAGTATTAATCCTTTTAAATCTGCTCTCATAAATGAACACAGAAATTATATTTCAATTATACCGCAATATGACCTGACTTAAAAATTATGATGGACATATAAGCTCTGCTCACGTTTCTACAATCAAGTACAGTAAGTAAGTATAAGTGCTTTACTACCCATTTTCCAATAAAACTGCTTTTAATTTCAATGCAGATTATAATTTCTAACTTACCTTGTATCTCTCTTTGGCCTTTTCTTTACCAATCTCCTTCAGCATTCTATCGGCCAACATCATACCTTGCTGGTGGTTGAAGCCTTCCAGGATGCAAACGGCCGTTGTATCTGACAAAACATAATGATACACAAATTATCAATAAATATAATATTTGTTTATATTTAATTGTAATCTAACACTTAACAGTGAGTGACTTGAAAATATCCAGGCTAATTCCATGTTGCCGTATTTAGGGGAGTAGATGCGGGGGAGGGGAATGCGGAAGAGGACTCAGGTTTCTTTTTAAAAGAACTATTTATCATGTTTATTACTAAATGATGAATTAGTGTAAATAATAGTAATAATAATATTAATGCTAAATTAAATAATAGGTAGCATTTAATTATGGCATTGTTGATAATATATTTGTTGTATTTCCTAGTTTACAGAAAATTATGATCTTGATTTTAGTATATTCATATCTACCTTCCAAGCACAATAGTTTGTCTCCGTTGTGGTCGTGAGCTTTAGCTCGTCTGAACATTGCCTTCGTGTAGGTGGGGTTCAACTCTATAGCTTTACTACAGTCTGCGATTACTTCTGCATATTTACCCTTAAAAGAAATAAAAATTGTAATGTAGCATATAAGTTAAACATATAATCATAAATAAGTAAAATTTTAAAAAAAAGCAGTGGCTATTATTACACCAGGTTTAAACCAATTCCTAATTTTGATGTTATTGTCCTAATGTAATTCATGCATACATTAACAGTACTGTCCAATCAGAATTAGAAATTGGTATTGGTGTAACAATAGCCAATGCCAAATAGCAACCATGATTTTACAGTTACCTGCTGCTCATGGGCTGCTGCTCGATTTTGATAGAAGGTTGCCAGATCTTGTTTCTTATCTGCTGGGCAAATTTCAATTGCTTCAGAGTAGCAACGGATTGCCTGATCATAGTGCGCCGCTTTGAAGTACTTGTTACCTCGGTTCTTGCTGGCCTGCGCTTTTTCAAGAGGAGTCTGAGAAGGAAAAATAATATAACAAACAAATACAAATAACAATAAATATAAGTTAATATAAACATAATATAACCAGATTGTAAAGGCCTGCAAGGGTAATATATCCTCTGTGCAAAAATTTGGCCTAGAAATCTGTCTGCGCATTTGAAAAATATGGGACGATTTCCGTGTAGATTTTTCAGAAAATTAGGATTAAACCTAATCTTAATATATAAACAGTTGTATTATGCAGTAATTACGACTCTGTGCACCTATTTTCTTTATGATTTTCCACGCAAATTTGAGCTGGTTATTGAGGTATCATCTGCACAATTAAAAACTTTACAGTATGGCATAATAATATAATTATATAATAAAAAGTATATATATCAACCATAAATAAATATAATATAATAATACTGTTGTGAGCGTACATTCTGTATCATACACTTTTAGATTTTTACAAAAAAGGAAAATAGGCCAATGCGTCTTGGCAGTCCTAACAAAGGATTAGTGCTTTCACATCAAATATGCGATGGACGACGGGCCAGTGTGTTTGAATTTTATTAGTACAGTATTGCACCTGCTGCATGAAAATTTTGGTGGTCAATGACATGGGATGGGGTAGCCTACCTAGGCTCTAGGTAGGGCTGCATGCCGGTCGGAAAGGCAGTGAGGCTATGCCCAAGCTTAGTTAGAAGAGCTAGCCTAGATTTATTTTTAATATGATTGAATGAATGAATGAATGAATACATCAACTTTGCTACTTATCAGACGACAGGCCTAGGCTAATCCTGAGGCCCAGGCCTACAAAAAGCATAGGATAAACAAAATCACATCGAAAATCAAACTCAATTTCAACATAGCCTACTTGATCTGGTTGCAACGAGGACGGGTCTCCATCTCCACTCGCCGATACCGATGCCTTTTCGCCGCTCCCACCGGACTTCTTCTTCTCGTCGCCGTCCTTACATTTATTTGCTGAATCACCACCACTTTTGCTGTAACAGTAAACGGCCGCAGCAGTAGCTCCAATAGCTAATGGCGCACCAATAACCAAAGCTATTTGCCATTTTGACCACGAGCCTCCACCGCTTCCCTGAACATTTTCGGCCATTTCTAATGTGGGTAGAACTCGCGAAACGTGAAGTTCAGTTCAGCAGTGTTGTTGAAAGGGAATTTTCATAAATGACAACTTCATGTATTTCGGTCGCTTTCCGATTAAAGCACTTCGTGTCGGCCCGCATATTTATCGATTTTTTCAGTCTAAGCGTAAAGTAAAGTCTAGTCTCAGAGCAGAATCAGATTTAACATTTTATAAATACTGTAATTATTCTTTAAAAAAAAACCTATTGTCTTTGTTTGAAATATTTTCGAAATATAATATTATAAGGTTTATAAAGTAACTATTTACACTAAACGTAACCTCGTAACCTCAAAGTTCAATCAAAACGTTGTGTACGTGAGAGAGGTGCGTGAGCACGTCCATCATATATGTCTCTCAGTCAACATCCCGACTGCTCTGTTTTCTCTTTACGCATGCGTCATTATAGCTTATTATTATTATTATAATAAACCATTCAGGAGTGTCTATCAAAGTTATTAATTAACCAACCAATAGACCAGGAATACGCATGTCCCACAAACGCATGTGTTGTCCCGCAAACGGGGGAAAATATTATTATTGAATTATTATTTATTATTGAATTTCACCTTTTCAACTCCGGCTCGACTCAGATGCAATATAGGCCTACTTTGTTTATTTTTATTACATACATTTTTATCAACAGTTATTTCATATGTATTTATTTATTTATTATTATATTTTTATTCATAAGGTACTACTATTCAGTTTCAATATACGTTTTCTTTTGAAACTTACCATGTACCATAATAGATTTGTTGTATAGTATTATGTGTTGTTTGTTTTGAGTGTACCTTTTTCCTTTAATATGGCTTTGCCTTATGACAATAAATTAATTTAAATTTGATCTAGCAACAATATCCAAGGGGTGGGGGTTAGCAGAAGGTTCATTACCAGTCACTGGTGGATGATTCGCTTTAATTTCATCATCGGCGCCGCGCGGATCTAGACACCTGTTGGACTTTGAATCTACTACTGTAGGCCTACATCGTAAAATGGGAGAGCCCTAAAAATGACAACTGACAAAGTCCCTTTTTCTGTCAAACTCACTGATATTTTGGCGATAGGCCTTTCTAGATTGTTAATATGAGTCCTGTACCCTGGGCATTGTACAAAAAACAACAAAGTTTATATCATATGAAATAATTTTTTTTTAAATTAATTATTTAATTGACAATAGTTTTTGTAGCCTATGGCCAACCAGAGCCTAGGCCTAATATTTACTATTTTTTGGAACCCAGCAAATTTCTCTTGTGTGTCCCCAGGAGTCTGAGAATGAGTACTTGGCAGTGTTTAGAATACTCAGTTATTTGTTTTTGTTAAGCTTCTTCCTGCTTTGGAGTTGATGAAGTAGATTTTGTTTTTTTCCATTCACAGCAC